AACCAATCATTTAGTAGGAGTTACAAGAGCATGGCTAGAAAGAGCACATGGAAATGATCCATTGCATCATAGCTTCCAAGCCACAATGTGGCTTCTGTCTATTGTATAGATTTGTCATAGGGTAGACACTTGAACACAATCTGGGGAGGATGAAAAATACAAACTCCTCCTTGTAATACTCTATGCTTTGGAGGAAATAGGAGGGACCACAGCTCAGGGCAAGGAGGCGTGGGGGAGGAGATCCTTTTCCAGACAGCTCACAGCTGTAGCAGTTTCTAGGATTCACAGAACTTGATTCTGTGATTGACATCGTGTCCTTTATGTTCATTTATTCAAACAAAATAGAGCACCTGCTGTGTTCTAAGCCTGGAAGCAGGAGCGGCATCCACTTCCGGAACAGCTTGCCTCCGGAAACTCTATGTACGAACAGTGCTTAGGCCTTTCGTTCATAGGGTCGCTATGAGTCGTCTACGACTCGACGGCACCTAACAACAACAACAACAACAACAAGTATGTGCTAGGCTTCTTGTTTCATCAGTGGAGTAATCAAGACCTCTTTCAGACACAGGGAATAGGTAAATACAATATGGTTAGGGCTGTAATAAGGCAATGTGATAAGCAGAAATGACAGAAATGTCACACACTAGAAAGGGAGAAGATGAGTTTCCGTCTAAAGCTGCCTTTGAGCTGTCTTGAATGATGGGCATGGGAAACTTCACAAAGAACTAAGCTTAGGGTGGGGACTGCAGTCCTGGCTCTGTCACTCATTATAATCTTAGCCAAGTTTCCTCACTCAGTGTCTCTATATCCCATGTTTCTCATCTGCAAAAATGAAGATAATAGAACCCACTGCCCTCATTGTCCAGCTCTCAGTCGCACAGCAAGTGACTGAAAAACCATGGCTTGCATCAGGCACACCTTAGTCTTCAATCTGACATCATTACTCCCCAATAATTTGGAGAGGTCCCTGTCTATAAACTTCCCAGTACAATACATCTTCTGATCTCATAACTGCTACTACCAAGTGTGTTGATTGTAGATTCAAGTAAGATGAAGTTGTTGACAGTTTCAGTCTTCTCCATCTATCATGATATTGCCTATCCAGTGGCTAGGATTTTGTCACTTGCTATGCATCTGAAAGCTGGACAATGAACAGGAGAAGTGATGCCTTTGAATTGTGGTGTTGGAAATGAGTGCTGAATATCCCATGGACTGTCAAAAGAACAAACAGATGCATCTTGAAGAAGGTGCAGCCAGAGTGCTCCTTGGAGCCAAAGATGATGAAGCTTTGTCTCACATACTTTGGGCATGTTGCTAGAAGAAGCTGTTCATTGGAAAGAGATGTCAAGCTTGGGAAGGTGAAGGGAAGGCAAAGGAGAAGATCTCAACCAGGTGAATTGACACAGTGACTGCAGCAATGGGCTTGAGGGTATCAGAGATCCTGAGGATGGCACAGGACAGGACAGGGTTTAGATCTGTTGTTCGTAGGGTCGTAATGAGTCACACTCAACTTGACAGCACCTAACAATCACCACCACCACCACCATATAGGATTGTGTGAGTACATGTTAGTAATTGTTACTATTAAGCACTTACTACATTCCAGCTTCTTTAAGTATGTGCATAACTTCTAATTATTACAATAATCCTACAATTAGTCTTATTTATTTTACAGATCGGTAAAGCGATGTTCAAGTTGCCCACGTACATGTGAATTAAAGGCTGGTTCAGGGATTTGAACCCATATCAGTCTGGAATCTTGGCTCACGACCTCCCTCCTATTGCAGGTCTAGTGGGGCAGGAAAGCTGGATACAGGTGGGAAGAGAGCATGGTGAGAAAAGACATCTGACATTTCTCTGGTCAGTCTGGGTAATCCAGTCACTAGGGGGTGGGGGGGAGGATGGAATGGGGTCTCTCTTGGTTGTCCTGCCTGACACGAATACATCTCAGCAGAGAAGTCTGGTTATGAGTTTTACCAAAAGATTATTCACATAATTTTTCAAGAATATATTCCCAGTAGTGCGGACAGAAGAGCTGAAGCAGGAATTGAAGTTTGATAAGAGATAAACAAGCTAACAAAAATAGGAGTGGGGGACAAATTCTTCACCAAAGAATAGAAGTGAATGGCCAATGAATGGCATATGAAAGGAGGCTCAACCTTACCAGGCATCAGGGAAATGCAAATGGAACCAGAATGAGACAACCACTAGATACACACCCAAAGGGCTACAATTATAGTGTTGCTAGGCGGTGTTGAGTCAGCACTGAGTCATGGCGTCCCGTGTGTAACAGGCCCAAAGCGTCAGTCCTGCACCCTCCTCAAAATCATTACTGTTGCAAACCACTGTGCTAACGCATAACATTGAGGAGATGCTGCTTTTATTGATGACTCTCTCTCTCTCAAGCATGTTGTCTTCTTCCAAAGAATGACAAAAAATCAGGACGATAAAAACCTCCAATACAAATGGGGATGTGGAACAGCAGGAACCCTCATTCTTTGTTGCTGGTTCTTATTGTGTGCCGTCCAATCAGAACGGAATCATAGCTGGCCTGCCAGCAATTTTTTAAAATTATTATTAATTTTAATGAAAATTTACAGTGATTTTGGATTTCCATTCATTCATTGTTGCAACTGTCAGCGAATTTTCAGAGGCAGTAAATCAGAAGGGAGGAGACTGCCTCACCTGTTCCTTCAGAGCAGCTGGTGGATTTGAAATACTTGCCTTTGGGAGTACAGCACAGCTTCTTATTTTGGTTTTTCTGTCTTTTTTTTTAGCTTCTTACTTTGCTCTTCTGTGACTGGAGTGGTGGAAATGAGTGTATTTGAGACAGTGAGGTTGGCACAGGATAGAACAGCGTTTAGGGCTCTCTTGTACATAGGGTTGCTATGAGTTGCAAACGACTCGATGGCACATAACAACAACAACTTTGTGTTGAAAGCATGAGTGGCATCCACTTCCTAAACAACATGCCTCTGGACACTCTATGAACTTTGATAAATGTCAATAGTTGTAGAGGGGCTTCAGGCCTTTTGTTCATAGGGTTGCTATGAGTTGTGCTCGACTCAAAGCAATCAACAACAACAACAACCAATAGTAGATGAAAAATAGGACGGTAGCTAGTTGCCTGTGGATGGTGAGATGGAAGCAGGAACTGACTGGGAAGAGACGTTAGAGAACTGGGGGAGATGCTTTGTATCTTGATATAAGAGCCCCGATCACACTGTGACTAGTGCTTGGTTGACACCCAAAAGGAAGGCAGTCAAATGCACTAGTCTCTCCTGGAGGAAAGATAGGGAAAGATGACAGTCGGCCTCCTTAAAGATTTACAGCACCTGAAATCCCAAGGGGCCAAACTCTCAGTTCTATAAGCTGCTGGATGACAATGGGTCTTTTTGATAGGCTGTGAGTTACACAGGCGTATGCATTTGTCAAAATTTAGTGATTGTATACTTCACATTTGTACATTTCATTGTGTATAACTTTGTGTATACATCAATACAAAAATGTCAACAAATATAGAACTCTAGTTAATGGTATGCAGGAAGAAGTATTTGATGAGAATGGTATTAATATGCACAATTTACTTAGAAATGTATTAAAAGATAAAACTACTTGTTGTTGATGTGTACTATCGAGTCAGAACCAACTCCAGAGTGTTTTCAGACGCAGTTTAATTGCACTGGAGGAGACGGCCCATTGATCTGCAGAGCAGCTGGTAGATTTGAACCATATACCTTTGGGATAGCAGCACAGCTCTTTACCATTGGGCCACCAGAGCTCCCTAAAATACAAGAGTCAACAACATGGATATATAGATGGATATGTGATTGAGTTCCAACTTATAGTGGCCCTTACCCTACAAGGGGTCTGAGGCTGTACATATTTATGGGACAATACTGAGCAGCTAGCTGGTGGATTTGAACTGCCATCCTTTCAGTTAGTGGCACCATGGGGCTCCTTAAAGCCAGTATAGTGCTTTTCACTGTTTTGGCTTTATAGTATTGTTTGAAAATGTTCCAAAGGGTCAGTGATTTGGGACTTCTGTAAGAAAGTATGAAGAGCTGGAAGGGCTTTCTGTTGTGGGTAGGCGCCATCGAGTCACATACGACTCTTAGAGACCGATCCTATGAATGACAGACCTGAACCTTGTCTTATCCTGGGCCATCCTCATCATCTCTGATACACCTGAGCCCATTGCTGCAGTCCCTGTGTCCATCCACCTCATTGGGGTTGGGACCGAGCAAATGAAGATATCAGCAGTGGTGAGAGGTATGAGAGCGGTGTGATTAGCAAAGGCAATCTGCTTTTTGCAGCTTATTTCCCAACTATAAAATGGGTAGAAGAGATGCTCTGCTGGAGAAGGAGGGGCAATCTCCTCCTGTACTAGTCAGATCCGATTTGACTGTACATACACACAAAATAATAATTAAGAATAATAATGGGTGACTCTGGAGGACATTATGCTGAGTGAAGTATCTCAGCACAAAAGGACAAATACTGCATGGTGCCACTGTTGTAAAACAGGACTGTCCTTGGGGTTGGGGAGAGACTGCGAGAGATGGGTTCAATAATGTATACTGCATTGAAACAGATGAGGGAGAAAACTGTTTAAAAGGGATATGTGATTAGGTATTTCTGTCATGACAGGAATGTAGAGCGAAGGCTACATGGTGGAGTGGACCTGGGGGAGGGTTTGTAAAATAATGAAAGAATTTCTCTTTTACTTTTCCAAGAGGGTAGTGTACTAGGGGGGAGGATTGGGAGGGGAGAAAAGTGCAACAATGAATGAACAGAAATCCAAAGTCTCTGTAAATTTTTACTGAAATTAATAATAAATTTAAATTAAAAAAATAATATATTTATTAAAAAAAAGGGTAGAAGAGCAGCATCCGGTTTTCCAGGGCTGGCGCCGGAAGCGGCTTGCCAAGCGCTCTTTCCATTGGCTGCGGCCGTCCGGTGGGGGCGGGCCTAGCGGGGAGGCGGAAGCTGCCGCGGGCATGGCGGCGCCCGTGCGGCTCGCTGTGCTGGGGCTGCTCCTCCTGGGCCCGAGCGGCCGGGGCCGTGCAGAGTCCCCACGCGACAGCCTGCGGGAGGAGCTCGTCATCACTCCGCTGCCTTCCGGGGACGTCGCTGCCACATTCCAGTTCCGCACGCGCTGGGACTCGGAGCTGCATCAGCAGGCAGGTGAGAGGGCGTGATCGCACCTGCGGTGGGGGCGGGGAGGAAGTAGGGGCGAGTCTGGAGGACGTGAGACCCGAATAGCTGGAGTCCCACGAATGGAAGAATGAGATGATGATTGAAGAACCCCATTTAGTGAAGCCTGCAAAGGGGCGGTGGTTTCTAGCCTAGAGCTTCCTGCAGCATCTTGTTGCAATTTCAAACTTTTACCCCTTTATTGGCAACATTGCTGGTGTTGGTGACTCCCATTGATCCTTGGTGCTGTGTGCTGTTGTTATTTCTGTGAACAAACACATGGAAGAAATTGAGATGCAGGGAGGTATAGGGACTTGACCAAGACCAGGGTCGTCACCCCCTGCACCCCTTTTCCCAGTGTCTCATTACAGGCTCTTCCCCAAGGCACTCGGGCAGCTGATCTCCAAGTATTCTCTGCAGGAGCTGCACCTGTCACTCACACAAGGCTTCTGGAGAACCCGATACTGGGGACCTCCCTTCCTGCAGGCCCCCTCCGGGGCAGAGCTCTGGGTCTGGTTCCAAGACACCGTCACTGAGTGAGTGCCCACCTTGGGTCCCTTTGGGCATGGCAGGGATGGTACTGTTGTCTTGCCACTGCCCACAGGGACAGCAGTTCCAGCAGACAGGGCTCCCGTGGCTGCTGCTGGTGTAAGTGACAAATGATCTTACCTGAGTGGTGGTCTCTCTTTTATTGAATATGGACTTGCCTCGTTAATAAAACGAGGCCTACTTTATCGTGTTGGTATGTCTGGCTTTCTCTTTTTTTACATATGCAGAGCTTTTGGCACCATTTTCTCAACAACAGAAGCCCACTTTGTGTCTCTGTGTTGCATTTTAGCAATTCTTGGAACTTTTCAAACCTTTCCATAATGCTTGTTGTTGTTTACCTGTGAAATCAAACCAACCCATAGCTGACCCTCTGGTGGGTTTTCAGAAGCAGTAAATTACAGGAGAGGAAATTGCCCGTCTTTCTTGCCCAGAGCAGCTGATGTATTCGAACTGTGTACCTTTGGGTTTGGCAGTGCAATTCCTTACCATTAGATCACCAGAGCTCCCAATGAGGCGAGTGCACACCTAGTAGGTTTCACCTTGCAGTTGAGTTGGAACACACCTATGGTCTCGTAGCTGACTCTTCATCAGGTTTCTGAGGTTGTCAATTACACTGGAGGAGACTGCCCAACTTTCTCAGAGTGCTGGTGGATTTGGGTCACCACAGATGGTTAGCAGGGCAATTCCCTACCCACTGTGCCCCCAGAGCTTCCCCAATTGACTGTACCAGAGTACAAACATGACATTTATGTCCACTGGGGAAACGACAGATTATCATAGGACATCCTTTATTGCGATATTCAATTTATTGCAGGGGTCTGGAACCGAACCTGCAGTATTCCAAGGTTTACCTCTGCGTTTCCTTCCATTGATTCTAGACCTGAGATGTCATGCGCATAGCCTTACAGAAGCAGAGAGCAAATGATTGATGCTCAGTGGAGTATAAAGCAATAGGAGAAAACGGGCAGACTAAAGCACTTTGTGAAAGTCATTCAAATGTAATCATAGTGATACATATTGAGTGTCAAATAAAAACACATCTGTGGACCAGAATTGTCCCACAGGCCGCCACTTTTCTCATTTCTGTGTTAGAGAAACGGCTTTTGTTTGAGTGAGAGGTGAGTCTGCTCGTTGCTGTTGTACCACATAAGCTATTTTCCAGTAACTGCGAGGCTCAGGTGGTCAAGACACAGCAGCACAGAGGAGCTGGGGTTGAGGAGAGCAGGCCTGGAGAATGGTCTTAATGACGGGCAGAAAATGCACAGAAAGGATGCCTGCTGACGTCTCCATCGGGAAGGCTCACCCAAGAGGAGATACGGGCATATAGGGATGTCCGGGACGGTGTGAAGGGGCCAGATGGGACTCTGTCAGTCTCTGCCCTTTGTGTCTGATGGTGAAAGACACGGCCTCCCGTGGGCTTAGCTGGAGTGCATGCAGAGGTAGCCCAGGGTCAGAGCATGGGTGTGTGTCCCCATCCAGTGTGGACAAATCCTGGAAGGAGCTCAGCAACGTCCTCTCAGGCATCTTCTGTGCCTCCCTCAACTTCATCGACTCCACCAACACCGTCACTCCCACTGCCTCCTTCAAGCCCCTGGGCCTGGCCAATGGTGAGCACGTCCCCACAGCCCCATCCTCTCCCTGACCTCCTCCTCCCTCAGCCCTGGCCTTTGCCTCCTTTCCCTTCAGCTTCCTCCCAGTTCTGGATCAGATCTTAAGTGTGTGAGACCCTGGAAATCTTCCTGAGGCTCTGCTGCGCCTTCTTTTGGGAGGAGGAAGAGGGAACCCACCCCTGAGATGGGCGCTTGAACTCTATGGGGAGCAAATGAGGTCATTGGCGTCTCTGGAGTGTGGCTCTGAGACCTCCACCTGCACCCCCCAGGCACAGATCACGCCTTCCTGCGCTATGCCGTGCTGCCCCGCGAGGTCGTGTGCACAGAGAATCTCACCCCGTGGAAGAAGCTTCTGCCCTGTAGCTCCAAGGTGGGGTGGATGTAGTCTCATTGGGGGTGGGAGCCCCAGAGAATGTGAGCTGCCCCTTCACTGCCTGCCAGAGAGCGTGCTTCTGTAGACCCACCCCTCTGTCTGGGGCCCAGGTGCTCCCTGCAGAGCCCTGAACTGCCACCTCGTCACACCTCCTCCAGGCAGGCCTCTCGGTGCTGCTCAAGGCCGACCGCTTGTTCCACACCAGCTACCACTCCCAGGCAGTGCATATCCGCCCTATTTGCAGAGTAAGTCTTAGTGATTAGGGGTGAGTACCCTCAGGGGCCCCGGAAGGTGAAGGTCAAGCACAGAGCTGCTGTTGGGCTAGGGGTGAGTGACAGATGTGACACTGATTATTCAGGGCGTTGGCTGAGCACCAAGGACACTGAGTGGTTGCCTGGCCAGGACCCAGTAGACATTTGTCACTGCACAGGGGTGAAGGCAGCAGCTGTGGAGCCCGAGGGCTGGCACATGCGCCAGCTGGCATGGCTGTGAGCGGGCATCTCGTTTCCCTGCGCCTTGGTTTCCTTGTTGGTCAGATGAGTGATAGGGCTGGCTTCCTAAGGTGTGACAGGTCCTTGAACTGTGAGCGTCAGATTCTTGGCCCTGTGGTCTAGCGCATGGGAGAGTGCTCAGGATGTAGCCGACCTGGGTTCGAGTCCAGGTATGTGCCTCAAGGCAGTGTGGCCCCGTGGTCACCTACCGTTGCCCCCATTGGTCCTGTGGTAGGATGCACGCTGCACCAGTGTCTCCTGGGAGCTGAGGCAGACGCTGACGGTCGTATTTGACGCGTTCACCACGGGACAGGGGAAGAAAGGTAAGCTGTCTTGGCGACTCCTTGCTACCCATTCGTCCCACCCTGTTTGTGGGGGCCAGGCCTCACCTCAGTCCTTTGCTTCGTCTTCCTCTTTGCTTCTTCAGACTGGTCGCTCTTCCGGATGTTCTCCCGAACTCTCACGGAGCCCTGTCCCCTTGCTTCAGAGAGCCGTGTCTACGTGGACATCAGCCAGGTAACCAGAGGTCTCCAGCCAGCCTCCCAGCACCATGAGCCAGCCTGCCCTTCTGCTCACCTGTCAGCCTTGTCCTTGTGTCCCCAGGACAATGAGACTCTGGAGGTGAGCCCATCCCCGACCACCACATACCAGGCCACCATCCTGGGTGCCCGGAAGACCTACGCCGTCTACGACCTTCACGACCCGACTCTGATCAACACCTCCCGCAACCTCAACCTCCAGCTCAAGTGGAAGAGAGTCCTAGAGAGTGGTGAGTCCCTTGGCCCCTGTGGGGACAGCAGTGGTCTCTCGGGAGCCGACCCATGTCCTGCTTCCTGACAGTAAGACAGTAGGGGAGCTTGGAAGCAGACGAGGAGCTGCCGTCCCACCCTGAACTCAGCTCATCTCCTCTGATCTTGGAAACGAAGCTGAGTGTTTTTTCCGGGTGCCACAGACTTCGGGAGTCCAGATGTAATTTGTAGCAAGTCCTTTGCTATCCCAGGGGCTGTGCCCTTCTGTTGCTTTGAATCCGTCACTCCCAGCAGCTCCCTCTGGGATCCCTCTGGACGATGGGCATCCTCCTCCGTTGCTGTTGTTTTTAATTTTTATTATTGTGTGTGTGTGTGCCGTCAAATCGGATCTGACTGGTACAGGAGGAGATTGCCCCTCCTCCAGCAGAGCATCTGGTGGATTCGAACCGCGCACCTCTGTGATTGCAGTACAGCTGCTTGCCACTAAGCCACCAGACCTCCCCTCCATTGTGATTTACCACCTGGAAACCAGGCGGAAGGACACTGTGAGTCAGAACCGCCTTGATTGCAGTGAGCCAGCGATGAGACCTGGATTTCTGAGTCAGATGCTCCTGGTTCTGCCCCCACCTCAGCCTCTTGGTGACTTGGCAGATATTTGTTCCCTCTGAGCCTTAACGTCCTCATTTGGAAAAATGGGGACAGTAGTGCCTAGGGGACTAGAGAAGAAAATCACTCTAAAGTGCAGAGTTGGTTCATGTGTTCATTAATCAGCGCATAGCTTTCATGTCCATACCATGTGCTAGGCATATCAGGGTGGATAAGGCAGGTTCCCACTCTGCTCCACCCCCCTGCATTCAAGAAGGCGGGGGGTACCAAGCAGTGGATTCCTAAGTGATACTCACGTTCAGCCTCACCGAGGAAGGACGCTTTTCCAGATGACTGTCACCCGAAAGGGCCCCGTGCTCGCTCGCCCGTGGGATGGACTCAGCAGGAATTCTGTCATCCTGCTGTAGGTTGAGAAAGACCAGGATGCTTCCAGAACTCGGGTTCCTGCTTCTGGTGACACACTTTCCCCACCTGGCTTTGAGGAAGGCTTTGGGGAGAAGGGGGTGGCCCTTGGTTGTTGTTGCTGGGTGCTTTTGAGTCAGTTTGGAGTACTGGTGACCCCATGTGATGTTATAACTGTCCTGGAGGGTTTTTTCTACGCTGTCATCTTCCCATAGGACTGCCGAGTGGTCATTTAGCCTCTGGACACATAACTCTTGTGCCACGAGGCCTCCTTGTCCCTTAGGATGTCCTCACAGTTGAGCTCTCTACTTGCAGAAGCCCCTCCGGCACCTTTCCTGCATGCCCAGCGCTACGTCAGCGGCTACGGACTGCAGAAAGGGGAGCTGAGCACGCTCCTGTACAACACGCACCCGTACCGGGCCTTCCCCGTGCTGCTGCTGGACGCCGTGCCCTGGTACCTGCGGCTGTATGTGCACACCCTCACCATCACCTCCAGGGGCAAAGAGAACAAACCAAGTGAGGAGCCGGGTCCCACCCCACCCCTCCCCTCCTCCTCCAGGCGATCGCTGACGACATCTGCAGAGAGACACAGGCCTAGAGTGGGGGGTGCTTGGAAGCCTGGAAGCTTTGAGCTCACTGTGTCAGATGTGGAAGTCGTTAGTAAAGAGAATAGTAATTATGAGAATGCATCATGCTGGCGATTTTACATAATGAGGGGGAAGGTGGCAGCGCCCTTCGTTCTGCTGGCTTCCGGCTTCCTGGAGCCTTGAGCACATTCTTTCTGTGACTCCCAGTGGTTCACAGCCTCTTCAGGATAGAGAAGGGCTTGGCAAGATGAACTCGGTTTTGGAAGCACAGAAGGTAACGGTGCTGGGGTAGGTGGCTTTGCGTCCTTGGAAGAAATGAAGAGGTGGAGCTGTTTCTTTTCAAGGAGGAGCTCAGGTATACTGAACGCTTCCAGTTAGATGTTGGGACCAGCACTAAAGCACGCCTTCTCATAGTTGTGGGTGGAGGGAGGCTAATAAAGAAAAAAGACTTCTCGAAAGAGGTGGTATCGCACCCCAGATAGCCAGACTCAAAACATCTTGAAGCACCTCTCTCATTTCCAGCATTTTCAAGCCATTGATTAATCGTTTTGTTTTCAGTACCACTGGTTTGTATCATCTTCAAATTCTCGACTCCTTGCAGCGTGCCTATGGACGCTGTAGGTTGCCCTTTAACCTTTTATTCTAGGAAATTCCAAGTGCATCCTCAGATAGAATAGTATCCTGACCTTCACGTGTCTGTCTCATTTTCCTCCATCTTTCTGTCGTAGATTGGTCTCCTCTCATCTTAACATTGTTGTTTATTCATTGGAATCTGTGGGAATGGTTTCTTTTCTTATTTTAATGTGCTTTTATTTTTGTACTGTTTTCATTTTTATTGTGGAAAGTCTGCCCAGCAGAACATTCACCACTTTGACAGTTGTTCTGCAAAGTTGGCAAAAGGAAATCACAGGCAGTGGATCAAGTGCCCTTTAATTACCCTATCAGATAAAAGGGCTATAATGAGTGTAATCTCGCTGAAGGTGCTCCTGTCCACCCCAAGAGTCTTAACAAGCAGACTATGCAGTTGATTAGTTTGAATTGGGACCTAAACGAGGCCTTCACCTCCCTTTTATGCTGTATCTGTCTCTTGAGTCTCTTTGACAATAACAACTCAATTCTGCCCTCCTCCCCAAAATGCTGTTTGTTGAGGGCTAGGTCGTGTGTGGGATGGAGTCTTCTGCCTTTTATTCTCTTGCTGGTGTAGTATGTTCCCTGCCCCCCCCCCCCACTTCCTGTATGTTGATAGTTAGATTTAAAAACTTGATTAGATCCAGGTCCCAAAAGAGCTTCCCAGGGGCTGCTTTGCACGTCTGTTGCGTCACACCAGGCAGCTGATGTCTGGTGGCTCAGGTGTGATGTGCAGGCTGATTAGTGGCCTGTGGTACTCTTGAGAGCATCCTCACCTTTCCGTGAGCTGGTGGACTCCTGAGGTCCCTCCCCGCCCTTGGAGGCGCCCCTGGCTTAAAGCCCTGGGCCAAGTGGGACGGGCAGAAGTGAGGTAGTCTGACCCCAGAGAGAAAGTGGTGCCGCTCTGCTGTGTCTCAGGTTACATCCACTACCAGCCCGCCCAGGACCGGCTGCAGCCCCACCTCCTGGAGATGATGGTTCAGCTGCCCGCCAGCTCCGTCACCAAGGTCTCCATCCAGTTTGAGCGGGCGCTGCTCAAGTGGACCGAGTACACGCCAGACCCCAACCACGGTTTCTATGTCAGGTGTGCCTGTCCCTTACAAGCCACCCCTTCCCTTCTGTCCCACCCTCTCTCCTTCCCTTCCGGCCCACCCTCTCTGCCTCATTTCCCGCCGGATGGAGAAGCCAGTGAGAAACCCGGCCTGTGTGTCTGCTCTTTGCAGCCCCTCGGTGCTTAGTGCCCGTGTGCCCAGCATGGTAACAGCCAGGGCGGTGGACTGGGAAGAGAGCCCCCTCTTCAGCACCCTGTGAGTGTTCCTGGGCGGTGCAGTTAAAGCTCTTGGAGTGAACTAAAAGATTGAGGTTCAGGTCTTCCACCCAGAAGCACCTCAAAAGAAAGACCTGACAGTGTATTCTAAAACCCAGCCATCAAGCACTGCTCCATGCTGGCCTATGGAGCGTAGACTGGCCCGTGGACCGTGGATCGTGTCTCCGTGCCCACCCGGAGAGCATTGCTGTGTGCTCGCCTGGGGAGCATAGACCCGCACGTAGAGCATAGACGGGTTCATGGAACATTGTTCTGTGCCCACCTGGAGAGCAATGCTGTGTGCTCGCCTGGGGAGCATAGACTGGCCCAGGGAGCATAGACTGGCCCGTGGATCGTGTCTCTGTGCCCACCTGGAGAGCATTGCTGTGTGCTCACCTGGGGAGCATAGACCGGTCCGTGGAGCATAGACGGGCCTGTGGAGCATTGCTCTGTGCTGTACCAGGGAGCATAGACGGGCCCATGGAACATTGTTCCGTGCCCACCTGGGGAGCGCTGCTCTGCTCTGACATATGAGGGCGCTGTGAGTCCAGCCTGACTCAGTGAATCTCATCTTTTCTGCTGGCACCTCCTCAGCTGCCCGTTTCAGACAGGAGCATTACCTTTTACAAGCAGGCTCTTGTGATGTAGTTTGGCTCTTCCAAAGGAATGTGTACAGTTCTCAGCAATCTGTGATATTTCCAATGACCTGATAAAATGATTCCAAAGACCATCTAGGACAGCAAATAGGTGCAAATAACAATACTCGTAACAGTGCTTGTAGCTTGTATTTACCCATCCATTCTCTTCGCAAGCATGGAATTGAGCCCTTATCAAAAGCCAGGTACACCAATGTACAGTAGTGACTAAAACAGAAGTGCCCTGCCCTCCAGACACTTACAGTCTAGAGAGGAGATTCTTTTCTAGAGAATGCCAGGTGTGGGAGAGTGTTTTGGGCAGGTAAGGCGGAGCAGCCAGCAAGACTTACTTGAAGAGACATTTAGACTGAGACCCGCATGCGTGGGGACAGGGTGCAGTGGGGAGCAGTTGCCCCGTTCCCCCCTCATCTCTGCTTCCCTGACCCCAGGTTCCCCTTCTCGGACGACTCAAGCTACTTCGTCCGACTGTACACAGAGCCGTTGCTGGTGAGCCTGCCGACGCCCGACTTCAGCATGCCCTACAATGTCATCTGTCTCACATGCACCGTGGTGGCCGTGTGCTACGGCTCCTTCTTCAACCTCCTCACCCGCACCTTCTACATCGAGGAGCCCAACAAGGGCGGCCTGGCCAGGCGGCTGGCCAACCTCATCCGGCGCTTCAGAGGCGTCCCGCCACTCTGAGGCACGGCCCCTTCAGAGCTAGAGCTGCTGTTTCTTTCTGGGGTGAGGATAGGGATGCCAGGGACTCTTGCACCCCTTGTTTTCCCCATCAAGAGTCCAGTGATGACTTTTGAGCCAAACCCTCCCAGAGCTGTGCCATCCTGCACAGGAGCCACAAACCCTCAAGTGGCTGAATTTACGTTCGTTTGAAGTCAGCATCACATCTCCGATTCTCAGCGGCACAATGCAGTCAGTGGCTGCCGTATCAGATGGCGTGGAAGGACTTTCTGTCATTGCAAGAAGTTCTGCTGGACAACAGCGCTGGCCCCGAGGCCAGACTGTGCCAGGGAAGTTGTATTCCTGTGTGGTGCATGAACTACTGGTCATGAATAAAAAGTGGCTGTGTCCTTCGTCCTTTGCCTCCTGCCCTTGAAGGCTGGAAAGAGTTAGAGATAAGGGCTTATTAGCTGGGTGTCTGAGCAGGAAAACGTCTTCCTAGTAAAGAACCCCTCTTCCCAGAAAAGAAAGCCCTCACCTCCTCCCGGCCCTACGCGAGGTTCTGACCGTATCCCCAGAATGCCCTGGGCTTGGCAAGGACAGAGGATCCTTAGTGTTCCTGGAAACAGAGCCTGTGACTGGGAGGGTGACTCAGCCCAAGCCTTGTAGCAGCCCCGAATGCCTGGCCCAGAGCTGGGGAGGTAGAGCTGTGAGGTGGTTATTCACAGTGTCTCTGAAACCACGTGGTGGTGGTACAGGAAAACAGTACAGATGGCTGGAATCCCGGGTGTAGCTGGACTGGATTCTTCAGGCTCCGTAGGAGTTTATGTTGTGGGTGGTCCTCAGACCACCCAGCATCAATGAGAACAGTCCCGTTAGATTACATCATACCCCACTCATCTCGGAGACCTGCTTGTAAACCCTGAATTCCACTGGTCCTTAGGTAAATAGCACCCTCTGTCCTAATCCTGCCTCTTCCTCTGGCATGCTTGGCATCTGAGCTACTTGCAACTCCCCACCTGTAGAGGTTGGCCTTAGCATGCCCTGTTCTACTCTCCATATACAACTCTCAGAGATTGACTCCACAGAAAACCTGGTGAGATAACTGCTTCCTCTAGGAAGTGTCTTTTGCTACACTGGTCTGGTCCAGGTGCCCTCTGCTCTGCTGTCACAGCTCCCTGGTCTTCCCTTGGCATGCTCCTCTCATTTGGGGGCTACTGTCCTGATCCTGGGGCTGCAGGAGGTTCCTCTCATCTCCTGGATCCCCCCCAGCTCAGGACTGTTAAGTGCTCAGTAAGCAAATGGTAAATGCTTGAATGGGCATTGACTCTTCTGGCTCGAGACCAGGGATTCCATGGTTGTGGGTAAGGGGTATTCAGGAGCCCTTGAAGTTTGAGAGCAGAAGTGGCCAGAACTCAGGAGCACTGGGCGTGCCAACACCAGCATAGCGAACCTGTCTTAGTTGCCCCTCTGAGCCTGGCATGTGATGTGAGTGTGTGCATGTGTGTTCGAAGGGGAGAGGAAGGAGGTGGTGAGCTAGTTAGTCAAGGCTGTGGGCAGACCAAGTGAGTGGATACGACGCTTTTATTGAGTTTACTCCCAAAGCAATAAATAAGCAGATGCAAATGAGATAATGTGGTGGGTGGAAGTCTGAAGCCTAGTGACCTTGGCAGCCTGTGGCGTGAGACATCTGCCAAATCAGAAGGGCATGAGTTGTGGCCTGGCTGCCTTTCGAATCCCCACCTGCTGCAGTATCTAGAAAGGATTTCCTTTGCCATATCATGCGCTCTGTGCTGACAGCACCCACAGATCTCTAGTTGTTGCCCCCTCTCAGACTCCCAGGTCACTTATCCACCCACCCTCTCCCCTGGGGTGTCGAAAGGCATCTCAGAGTTCCTCCCAGGCTGAGCTGCTGATATGTCCCACTTCCTCCCCAAACACTCCCGCTGTGTGGTTGATCCCCTCACAGTGAATGACAGCTCCTTCCAGGAGCTGAATGACTCTTGGGAGTCATTCTTGATTCTTCTCCCTCCCATCCCAGATCTGCTCTGTCAACACATCTGTTGGCTTCAACTCCACCACCTCCACTGCCACCAGGGAGGCCTTCCCTGGCCACTCCTAGCATCACAGCCCAGCATCTCAACCACAGCGCTGTCCTCACTTGTCATCTTCTAGAACACTTAATAATATTCAGCATCCTTTGTGTCTTGATTGATCTTAGGCTCCTCGCTAAAATACACGCTTCCACCGGAACAAGGACTTTTGTAGGTGCTGTGTCTAAAATAGTGCCCAGCATGGAATTTGTGCTTCAATAGTGGAGGACCAAAGTAGGAAGTTTAAGGCTTTCTGTCTGAACCACGATTCCCAACCTAGGTTGCTCATTAGAATCACCTGGGGGACTTTAGAAAGTCTTGATGCTCACGCTTCACCCTGGACCAGTGAAATCGGACTTGCTGAGAATGAGGCCCAGAGCATCCCCAGATGACGTCACTGCAGCCGAATTTGAAAGCTTGGTCTCATTTTAAAATCAGTAAGAGCATTTCTTTTTCTCATAAAGAGTTCTGCTAATGAGAATACCTTTGGGGAGTATAATAGTCGAGGATGTGAAAAATAGGGGACCCACTTTTTAAACGTTCATATATATATATATTTTGCCTTTTAATACAAAATGTACATTCTGCATTTGTGACAAAAATGGACATTTTGTGAAGAGGTAATCTGGAAGTGGAGTTCTGCCCCTAGATTTGCCGCTGACTGGAGGGACGGTGCCCAGCAACAGTAACAGAGTTCAGCAGGGCAGCACACAACCAAAGCAGGTGAGGTTGTGGAGAGATTGGAACCCTTATTCACTGCTGATGGGAATGTGAAATGGTATAACCACTATGGAAGGCAGTCTGGTGCTTTCTCAAAAAGTTGGAAATACACTATTTTTTTTAAAATTTTATTTCTGTGTGAGTGTACCGTCAAATCAGATCTGACTGGTACAGGAGGAGAGTGTCCCTCCTTCCCCGGCAGAGCATCTGGTGGATTCGAACTGTTGCGCCTCTGGGAGTGTAGTTGCAGTTCCTTGCCACTAGGCCACCAGAACTCCCTGGAAATACACTATTTGACCTAGCAACTCAGCTACTGGAAATAAAAAACCAAGAGCCACAACTCAAACAGATGTATGCGCACTCATGTTTATTGCGTCATTATTCACAATAGGAAAGATGAAAGCAATGCACGTACCCATCAACAAACGAACAGCTAAAAAAACAATGGTACATCCACACAATGGAGTACTATACAACATTTTTAAAAACCCAAAGAAATAGTAAAACATTACACAATTTGGGGGAGACTTGAGCACATTATGTTAAGGGGAATATCTCAGTTACAAAAGGAAAAATACTGCATAAACAGACATGGGAGAATCTTCTCCCCTGCCAGCAAAAGAAGAAACAAGAGAATGAGTGGAGCTCATCTATCAGGACCAGAGCAACAGCTGGAGCAACTGAAACAGAGGACCAGAGAGACCTGGCATGAGACAGAGCTGACTGCTACCCCTAGTGGATAGAACCAAAGCTAAGCTAAGAGCCTTTGTCTAAGCTTGTAGGACAACTAGGGATAGAGGGAAGCCAATATTGGCAGGACTAATAACTTTTCAGCTGGTCTAAAGTTGTGAGGCTCAGAACTGAGGTGCCTGTAAGCACATTTTGGAAGCTGTCCTAACTATTCTACTACTAACCTGAATTATAACCTTTTGACTTGTATTTAAAAAAAGATAGACTTGGGGAGGGAATGAGGAAAACGTAGGTAGATTATGAACACTGCATTAGAACAGATAAGAGGGAAACTGTGAAAGGAACATGTATAAGAACAATCTAGAACAAGGAGTGCCTTGCGGGGTGGGCTTTGGGAAAGAGAGAAGGGTAGGGAGAAAATGAGCTACAATGAATAAATAAAAGGGGAGGCGGGTTTAATGGATGGTAATTGTAAGCCAGACTTTTTGAAAGGAGGAAGAGTTAAAATCCAAACCCACAACCCGCTCTCCCCTCTTTGCTCTACCTCCATTCCCTCCTCCCTCTCCCCCTCATCTTCCCTCTCTCTCACCCTTCCCCATTCCCTGATGTTGTAGATGTTTTCTTGCTTCAGATCATTCAGGCCATAGTGACCTCAGAAATATCTCAAATTGTTCTCAAGACTGTTATGCACCCCTTGCAAAATTTCCTTATGCATACAGACGTAGGGTAAACATTCATGTAGGAATGTTCCGTGGTCAGAATTTCTGGTTTCCCCTTGTAGATCAGAGATTTTCTTTAAACTGTTTCTGAGACTAATTGCATATGTATGCCGTGCTGAACTGTGGTGTAAATGACCCCGAAGTGCAGCCAGGGGTGAGCAGACACTCTGGGGGACTGTGATGCTCTGTCAGCCTCCTCTTGGCCCATCCGTCTGAATAAACCCCTGTGCGCATTGCACTGAGCAACTGCCCTGGGATCACACTTGCTACATTCAGGCCATAGTTTTCTCTTGAGATGGGTGTGAATAGACTTGGAGCTAGCCCCCTACTTCCTCCTAGTCTCAGGGATCCCCTCAGCTCACCAGTGGTCTTCCTGAGCTGGCTTGTCCAACAGGCAGAGTGTGAGGCTGAGGGTGAGGGCGCTGCTGAGTTCAGGAGGCGAGTTCAGATCTGGATCTGGGAGCAGGAACATCTACCTGCAGCAGAAGAAGGGGGACGGTCCTGGGGCTGAGAGGCGTGGCTTGCTTTTGATTATTTGGAAGAGGAAGCATGTGAGAAAGGTGTGTGGCTAGAGGAACTGGACTTCTTTCTCTCCAGGTAGTGATGCTCCCCTTAGAAAGGCTCTTGGAAAAAATGAAAAACAAAAAAAGAAAGGCTCTTGGGAAGTATTGAACTTATTTCTTAAATCGGTTGTTATTTTGTGCCATGAGTTGTCTGTGACTCAACCAGACCCTATGTCCAATAGCTCTGAACCCTGTCCTGTCCTGAGCCAGTCTCACTGCACAGCTACCCTCATGACCCC